TGGGTGGATAATTAGAGAGAAAATAGAGACAGATTGTTCAGAAGAATGCTAATGGGAGAAAAGCCAGGAGGGGCCATGGGAAGGAGGAGGGGCTGCCCCCTCTAGAAGCCTGGGAGAAGCAGGTATGCAGTGACACGGGGGTTGTGAAACCAGATGCGTCATCCCCTGGCCCCTTGTGCCCCGAGGAAGGACGAGGACAGCAGGTAAGGTATTTCCCAGTTTCTTTCCCAGCAACTGGCACCTAAGTTGCTTCTTATTAAAATTACCATTTTTCTAAAGAACACCCTTTCTTGACTCAAGTTACTCAAGTGGGAGCCTTCAGTTTTAGAAGAAACATGGACTAAAAATGCTGAGAGTTTAAGTAAAGCCTTCTTACCGTGTTTCTAACTGTGCTTCCCCATATGGCCTGGCTCATTTTTAGACCCGATGCATATGTTTCAAACATTCCTTTTCCCGATTACACATTCACGCCTGTCCCCGGGGGCCAGTGTGGGTGTGGGGGACATTGTTCAGGGCGGGTGCCATGGAGCTGACTGCAGAGCCCCTCAGGCTGCTGGCCAAGCAGGCCCCTTCTCTCCTGCACCCCCGGCCCTGTGCCCACCACTGCTCTAGGTACGGGAGGGCAGGTGGGCATCTGGAGGGCCCCAGCTGACCTGAGCTGGCCAGGGTCTGATTGTAGAGCATCAGCGGTTTTGGGCAGGCTGGATGTTCCTTTGTTCCTCACTGAGCATTTGTTCACGTCATCTTTGTCTCCAAGTCGTTCCCTGATCTCTCCAGGCTGCTGTCGCTTTCTCTCAACTCTCAGCTTCCTTTCTCTGCTTCTGAACTCATGGATTCTGTGAGCGTGCAGATTGTCCCAGTGGTTCTTACAGCTGGGAAGCCTCTGGAGGTCAGGTCTTGGGGAATATTCAGGCTGGGGCTATGCCTACATTTCCTCCTGGAAGCCAGCTGCCCTGGGGTGGCTGTTCGCAGGGAACCTTCATCGATTTTGTATTTTTGATTTTTCAGGAGCAAAACAGTTGAGTGTCTGACTTGGGAAATTTACAAGTGGGCATTTATAGTGGAGCGTGAATTGGTGGTGAAGTGGTCGGGGTGTCCTTCTACACTGATGTGAGGTAATGGTCCTGTCATGTTAGCCCATGTGCTCAGCCAAACTCTAGTGACAAGGGTTGGCTGTAGGAGCCAGGTGGACCACTTACACTTCTTCTGTGGTTGTTTCTTATAGCCTAGTGTGTACAGTTGAGTTTGAAAAGTGAGGTTCATTTGACAGCTTGGTGTCTCTGTAGAGTCCTGGTAAGACCCTGGAGATGACCTGGCCCAGAGATCTTCTGTGACAATCAGGCAGGTTGACATACTTGTCCAGGGTAACAAAGTGCTTTGTGGCATAGCTGGGAGCAGCCCCAGGCCACGGTGGGTGGTGGGAATTGGGGCCTGGACCCAGCCCCTTAGTACCCCTCTTGGAGCCTGCATGTGCCTTGTTACCAGCGTGTGCCTCATCCAGAGTGGCATGTGGTCCTAGAGCCTTGGGAGATGGGGCGTCTCTTTCACTCCCTCCCTGAAGGCCCACTTTGTATTGAGGAGCATCTTCTCCTGGGACACTTCAGAGGGGCCCTTGTGTCTCAGCTGCTCCCAACCCAGCAGGCAGGACTGGTCAGCTGTGCACCCCCCACCCACCCAGCCCCGCAGGAGCATTTTAGGGAAAAAATAGACACATGCACATCTCTGGAGAAAGCACCATCTGTTGTTTTCTCCACTGGACCTTTGTCCTCACCCAAAAAGGAAAACAACGTATGGACTGATAATAGCGGTAAACACCACGACCACAGTTGTACAGCTCCTGCTGTGCGTTGGACACTGCACACGTCCTTTCCTCGGGCTTCGGACCCTCACAATTGCCTCAGCCACCCCCGCAGGGCCACTGACATCCTCGTGTTACAGATGCAGAAACCCAGTAGAGAGAGTGCAGAACCGCCAGGCCACAAGCCAGTGGGGCAGGACCCAAGCTTGGAGCCTGGTCAGAACTGGGGTTCAGTTGTTCACCAGCCATTCACCCCACAAATGTGTTGACCCTGTGTGCACTCTGTTGTTCATTATTGTATTTCATTTTACTGAGCAGGTGTGGGCTCAAAAAGTTGCTCTTGTGAGCTTCTGCCAGTGACAGATGCTAAGTGATGCTTCAGAAGGTCATAGTGAATACTTGCCACCTCCCAACCACCGCCCCACTCCCCCAGGCACATCACATTCGGAGATGCTTGTGCTGATGGATCGGGTATATGTGTTGAGAGGTACTAAATATGTATTTTTAATTACAATTTATAATGAAAACCTTTCAAAAATTCTTTTCCCTGGCATCTGTGCTACCATTTGACTTTCACATTTGGTAGAAAATCCTATGCTTCTGAACCAGTTTTTTTTTTTCAGGCTTACACATTCAGTTATGTTATTTGCCTGCCTGTTCATGGGGGAACGGGCTCTCTTAGGAGCAGGAATGGAAGTTCTACTTCTGGACTCGTGGACCCATGTGATGGTGTGCTTTGCCCTGACACAGCTCCCTCTGCACCAGGTCCTGGCAAGTCTGCCCACTGGAAAGGGGACCATCTGGGCACACGGATGGTGACTCACTCCTTTGTCCCATCATCCCAACCCAGGCCGTGTGGGTTTGCCACAGGGATGGGAGGTCCCATCCATCCGATTGCCATCCATTTCTCCTTCCTCCCTCTGGTCCAGGACATCCCGTCCCTGAACTTGGGGCTCCGTATGGCATATAATAGCACGCTTCACTGCAGGGTAAGGGATAAGCCTAAGGTGCACATGCCTAGGAATAAAAAAAGTAAAACCTCCTGGGTTTACTGCAGCTTGGGAGAGTAGGGGCACAGAGGGGTGGGTCAGGAAATGGTGCTGTCAGGTTCCAGGGACATAGCCTGGCTAGAGTAGAGCCTCCCACCCTGGCCGTGGAGTTGCTGGCTTAGAGACATGTGGTGCCTGGACAGGGAGAATCTTGAGGCATATGGAGGGGTCAGCAGCACGAACTTGGAGGTGGGGGGCAGGGGTGGGTATCAGGCTGCTCCTAACTAACCTGAGCTCTGAAAGCCCAGGTGTGTATCCCTGAAGAGATCAGTCTGCAAGGACTGGATGGGGCAGACGAACTTGTGATGGTGAGATAGAAGATGGAGCTTGTTAACCAGGCAAACATGAGTTGAATGCTTGCCCTGAGCCAGGCCCCAGGCCTTGGGAAGATGAGTGCAGCAAGGGGAGAGGGCGCTGCGCAGGTGGGTGTGTGCTCCGCAGGCCTGGGGGCCCCAGTCGCCCATGAGGAGGTCCTCACAGTGCTGCTGGTGTTGCTGATGGGACTGGTGCTGAGCACATCCAAGGATCAGTCCCTGTTTTCCTCTGGAGGGAAGGCACCTAGTGAGGGTGACAGTGGTGCTGAGCTGAGTACGTGTCTGGGGCAGAGAATGCCAGCCTGGGCGGGTCTACTCTGGGAGCCAGCACCCAGCTCCCCGTGGTCCAGGCCATCATGACACCTCCTTTTATTCCTCTGATCTCCCCACCCGACAGGGGAGTAAGAACAAAGGGAATTCTCAGGACCAAGCTGTCTGTGTGCTGTTTAGTCCCTCAGTCATGTCTGACTCTGTGCAACTCCATGGCCTGTAGCCTGCCAGGCTCCTCTGTCTATGGGATTTCCCAGGGAAGAATACTGGGTGGGTTGCCATTTCTTCTTCCAGGGGAATCTTCCTGACCCAGGGATCTAACCCTGAGTCTCCTGCATCGGCAGGTGGGTTCTTTACCACTGAGCCACCAGGGAAGCCCAAACTGTCTTTACTGCAGGGAATTAAGGGAGAGAGAAGTACAAGCTATCCATAGAAGTGCATTGGTGTCCTTTTGGGAAAAAAGCAAAAGATCTGCCAGTGGCCACAGTTTCCCTGCTGTGAAACCTCCCATGCTGGTGCAGCTCGGAGGCATGGTGGGCAAGTGGCCACCTCTCAGGAAAGCCCAAGAAGCACAGCCAACCCCACAGTCCAGGGGTTGTCCCCACCTCGGGCATCATGCCTTCCTCCCTAGGCTCGCTTCTGCAAGGCTGCGGAATTCTGTGCATTTTAAGCAGGTTAAATAATTTTTACCCTAGGGCTTTCAAGCTGTATTCCTCATGCACAGGAAGTAATGTTTCAGGTGACAGCTTGGCCCTGACTCACATATGGAACCAAAGCAGCAGTTCTATGTTTGATGCACTCTGATATCTTCCTTTTAAAAAGAAGACTGTGCGCACACATACAGGCTGCTCAGACCCCCTTAAACTGATTTTCTGATCCACTTGTGGGTTTGCCACCAGAATATGAAAAATTCTGCCTTAAATTTACTGCATGCGCTGTTTTTTTCTTAATCACTCATCACTACTTGTGCGAAATCTGTGCAGTTTTGAAAGAAAAGAAGGGAAGGAAGGAGAAGGGTACGGGTTTCTCCCCAGTGTTGCTGCTCTGTTGCCACCCTGGAAGGGTGCCGAGTGTCCCCAAAGTGGAGGACAGGTGGTGGCCGGCAGAGCAGGACAGGCTTGAGGAGAGCTAGGGAGGGTCTTCAAGGTCATTTGGTCCAATTTCCCACCCACGACACAGAAGATACCTCTGTCCTGATGCAGAAGATATTTCTGTATGGATGCCTTTTTGTTTGTTTTGTTTTCCTCCTAGTGGCATATGACTGCTCTCATCATTTTCAGACTTTACACTGTTTTATTCTCTTGGTTTGCTGGTGCTCTGGCTTTTTTTTTTTTTTTTTTTTTTTTTTTTTTTGAGGAAAGCAGAGATCAGATATGATAATTCCCAGCTTTCAGGCATTTCACCACTGTTACCTCTGTTGGTGACTGGTTGGTCACCAGCCAGGGGGCCGAGTCCGTTCTGTATCCGTGTGCAGGCACTGCCCCTTGGCTGGGACCCTGCGTGGAGCCCTTGCAGGGTCCCAGTCCGCTGAACCTGGTCCCTGCGCTGAGCTTTGCTGTTTCTCCACAGGCCTCGGAAGGACCCGCCGGAAGACGAGCGCACGCGATGCATCCCCCACGCCCAGCACGGACGCGGAGTTCCCCGCCAACGGGGGCGGCGCCGACCGCATCTACGACCTCAGCATCCCCGCCGTGGTCAAGTTCGCGTATGCAGCGGAGCGCGAGGACGAGCTGTCGCTGGTGAAGGGCTCGCGCGTCACCGTCATGGAGAAGTGCAGCGACGGCTGGTGGCGGGGCAGCTACAACGGCCAGGTGGGCTGGTTCCCGTCCAACTACGTGCTGGAGGAGCTGGACGAGGCAGCCGGCGACGCGCCCGGGGGCTCGAGCCTGCGGCCCGGCGCCATGCTCAGCAATGGGCAGGGCGCGCGGGCGCTGCAGGTGGTGCAGACGCTGTACCCTTTCAGCTCGGTCACCGAGGAGGAGCTCAACTTCGACAAGGGCGAGACCATGGAGGTGATCGAGAAGCCCGAGAACGACCCCGAGTGGTGGCGCTGCCGCAACGCGCGTGGCCAGGTCGGCCTGGTACCCAAGAACTACGTGGTGGTGCTCAGCGAGGGCCCGGCCCCGCACGCTGGCTCCGGACCCGCGGGGCCTGCTCGTGCTGGCCGGTTCGCAGGCCGCGAGTGGTACTACGGGAACGTGACTCGCCACCAGGCCGAGTGCGCACTCAACGCGCGGGGCGTTCAGGGCGACTTCCTTGTGCGGGACAGCGAGTCCTCGGTGAGTGCCAGATGGGGTGGGTGGGCAGAGGGGTGTGCGTGTGTTTGTGTCTGGGTGTGCACATATGTGGGCATCTCTGCGTGTGCACCAGGCATACAGGGCGACTTCTTCCTTCCTAAGAGCGAGTCTTCAGTAAGTACAGGGTTGGGTAGGTGGAGGGGTGCACATGTGTGCACATGTATGTGTGCATCTCTGTATGTGTTTACCAGGTGTGCAGGGCGACTTTCTCATCAAGATAGTCACTGGTGAGTGTGGGGCAGGGTGGGTGAAGGGGTGTGTACACGTGTTTGGGTGTGCACAGGTGTGCATCTCGCTGTGTGTACATGTGTGTACCCGGCGTGCAGGGCAACTTCTTCGTCAAGACAGAGAGTGCTCAGTGAGTGTGGGGCAGGGTGGGTGGAGAGGTTTGCGTGTGTGTGCACATGCATGAGCACATCTGGGTGTGCATGGATACGCACATCTAGGTGTGTACACATGTGTGGGTATGCGCTGGCCGTGCAGGACGGCTTCCTCCTCAGGACAGAGAACCCTCGGTGGGTGGGTGCTGCACAGAAAGGAAGCTGAGAGCATGAAAGTGTGTGGAGGTGTGTGAATGGCCTCAGACAGCAGGGGTATGTGGGGCTCATGTTAAGCAAGATGAACACAGATGCTCTATACAACCTGTGTCCTGAGGCTCCAGCCCCACCTTATGCTGACATCCACTTGGACTGCCCAGCCTCTGCTGTACCTCTGGTTGGCAAGGTGCGTTCTTGTAGGTGAGATGGCAAGTACAGAGTGTCTCAGCTTTTGGAGATTTTGCTGCCTCTTGAGTGAGGTCACCCCTGTTCTGTCCTGCAGACCCAAACATCATTTTCTCCCCTGGTTTCCCTGTGTTGATGACCCAACCTTGTTTCCTCTCTGGGTCTGAGATGCATCAGATGTTCTCAGCAAGGCAGACACCCTGTTTCTGACACAATCTTTTGTTGGTTGGTGTGTTTTTCTTTTTAAAGTGTGTAATCCTCAGTATGTCTCTGCCACAGGCACCACTGAGTTTATCTCTGAAAAGCTTTTAAAGCACTCAGGAACAGAACTGAAAAGGAAAAGGATGACTGTTAAGAGAGGGGTTTCTGTGTACAAGTTGAGTCAGTTGTGTGCGGCCTCTCAACTTGGAGCGTACCTGTTTGCAGCACAGATTTGGGGTCTGTGTTTCAGATGTGTGGCCAAGTTTGTCTGGGAGAACTGGGCTGTCATTCCAGGTTCCTTTTTGTGTTTTCATTGTGGAGGAACTAAACTGGTTTTGTCAGTCCTTGCAAGTACACCTGCAATAGTGAAGCAAAAGTTTTGAGGATGGAGTCCAGTGTGAGTTTTGAGGATAGAGTCCAGTGTGATCATTTTCTGTTGGTTCCTATAGACTTTAGTTTAATTGTCTAAATGCAACCTGTAAGACTCGTCAGCCCATGCTATGTATTGTAATTGTCCCCTGAAAAGGTTGATACTACGATTGACTGATTGAGATTCCTATTGACTGATTGAGAGGGAGTTCAAGCCCACAGAAGTGGTTTCCCTTCAGACAGAGAGGGGCAGCTGTGATGCAGGTGGAAACCGGTCACCCAGTGGTGGCAGCAGCTCATGGTGGCGAGCACACGGGACCTAGACAGTAGCTGCATCTGAAATCTGGGCAACGAGCTTTTCTCATCCTGAGTCAATGGTTTCTAGCAGGACATCACATTAAGTTGTTCTCACATGAGGTCCGGTCCGGGCTCAGATCAAGAGGCTTCAGAGAATTGGGTCCAGAGTGCTTGCAACCCGCCTGAGCAGAAACAAAGAAAGCACCAGAAACCCTGTCACAGTAGGAGGTGATCAAGGGACAAGGATGATTTAGAGTCAAGGAGTCTCGTCCTGATTTAGGAAATGTTGGGTTTGAAGAGGCTTCTTAGAAAGGAGAGGGGTAAAAGCAGCCCCCACCCAGAGTGGAGACAGTGCCCCCAGGTTCTTCACTATGGGGCCAGGGAAGGGGAAAGTCTTTAGCAGGAGGCAGAGAGTATCACTGTCTTAGAGAAAACCTGTGACTTGTCCATCAGACAAGTAGGCCATGGTCCCTGTCAGACCTTGGGACCAGGTCGTTTTAGAGGTAGAGGAGGGTACTTTTCTTATCTGCACTGCACCCCTAGGAACTTGAAGAAGCAGCAGTGTTAACATTTGTCTCGGGTTATGAGAGGAGAAAGCCTTTTCTAAATAACTAAAGTATTGCTTGTTTATTTTAACCACTTTTTTGGCGGGGGGAGCCTTTCCACATTTTGTTCCCTCTGTTTTAATTTAGAAAACTGAGCTACGACAGCTCCTCGTGTGCTGGGCCGCTGGCTCTCAGGGTGGGGAAGAGGCTCTCTGGGACTTGCTTAGCTCTGCCCCTGCCATGGCCCCAGCTCGGCCTGAAGGCTGCCATGTGGCCCAAGGGTGTGCTGGGCTGCTTGTCTGGCTGGAACTCGCTGTTACACGTGGCGTTGTCTGCCGTGTGTGCGCCTGTCTTGTGCCAAAGAGATGCTCAGGGACTCTCAGGCATGCTGCTGCTCTTCTCCTGACGGCAGGGCGAGCCGGCTGCGCTGTCTTCATTCTCGTAACCAGGTCTTTGCCCACCTGTCATCTGCAACTGTGAGGAGCCGTTCAGATGGACAAGTCCATCGCTTATCTGTTTCCTGCCTCCACTTCCTGCCAGCACCTTCCCATCTTCTTTCTGCCTATCTGTTGTCTTTTTCCTGTTCACTCTGGCATCCTAACGTGAGAGCCTACTGTTCAAAGCTGCATGAGCCCGGAGCGCCACAGCCTGTCCTGACTCAGGGTCCTGTTTCTGCAGGACCCACAGGCATCCCCATTCAGTTTCCTTTTCCTTCCTCTAGGTCTCTGTGCTCAGGGCTCACCTTTGGTCACTGCAGGACCTGTGATTCCTCAGTAAGCATAGCCTCTTTTTTAGAGTGCCTCTTCAAGATGCGTTTCATTTTTTAAAATATCCCGAGCGATTTCAGTGTAAATGAGCAAGATTCTTGCTTGATACTTTGCATTTAAAAATATTCCATATTTTTCTGTACTGAAAAGTAAAAAGATCTGAGTTTTGGGAAATCCATGCTTGGGCGAGGGGGGAGGGTGGACATATTTCAGAACAACAAGCAAAGCATTGGCATATATTATGATATCCGGGGTCAGTGGTGTGTGGGTATTTCAGAGGCGTGTGTTAGACATGGTTTATCAGCCAGTGAATAAACCAGATGACCCTGCTTTGGCCCTTTTCTATCTTGCATCTCAATATCGAGTTTTCTCTCTCCCCTTCTCTTGCTCTCATCCCTCACCTCTAATTGCCATTTACCTTTAGAAGCTAAAGATGAAACAGTGTCAGTTCTTCATATTTAATCATTATATTCCATCCATATCATTAAATCTAGAAAATTCAGAATTCCTACCTGCCTTCTCTAATGCTCATTGTAAATCCTTATGTATTTGTTCAGACTTATTCTGTGGATACAGCTAGGAAACTATATTACAGTGAAGAATAACCAGTGACTAAATTTCTGTGTACTCTGTAAGCTGTCAGTATTTTATTTTTTCAATTGCTGTAGAAAGTGACAGCTTACAACTGGGTTGAGGTCTGCAAAGCATCAGCCTGTGGTGTAGGAAGCCATTTTTCTCTGTAAGATGTTAAAGATCCCAAAGAGATCATCTATTTCCCCATATTTTGTGTCCCTATGTTTTTGTGTCATTTATTACGAAGGGCTTTGGATGCAGTTTTATCTCTGCTGTATTATGTGTAAAAGAAGGTGAAGAGTGCTGAATCCCCTCTTTTGGAGGGAGATGCTGTAGAAAGTGGAACAGAGGGCTGCTTGTTACCTGAAACCTGACCTATGGCAAGAGCAGGAGGTGGTGCAGGCAGCCGGGCTGTGTCACTGGGTGCCCCAGGGGAATCCCAGTCACATGGCCGAGGGTGGCTCAGTGTCCTCCTGGTCCACGATGGGAGGAGACCTCCCATAGCCCTCTCCTGCATGCTGCCCAGCCAATGCTCTCTCCTCCTTTGGACCTTCGCACATATCTGGAAAACTGTAGAGTACAGCTGCCTCCATCCCCCCAACACCCTCCCTCCCTGCCCAGTCTAGGCACACATGCCGTTCACACCTCCTTTCCATCTGGGAAGCCTCCATGAGCTGAGCTCCTGGGTCCCACAACGGGGCCTGTGCTCACAGGTGTAACCGCCTTCATACGTGGCTGTGCTGCCCCCACGGCAGCCCGGTTGGCACTGGAGTGCATGGTGTGTCATCCTGTCGGCCATTGAATCCCAGCACTGCGTGAGACCCTAGAAAATATTCTCCACATTCACTGATGATGCAATTGTCCAGCATGTGTGTGTCGATTCAGAGTGGGAGCCAGCAGCAGCCAGAGGAGGTGCCAGCATGCCCAGCCCTTCCTCTGCACCCCCTGACCTCTGGGCTTGTGAACTCAGGTCAGACTTGGTGGCCTCTGGCTCGGGATTGCTGCCACCAGGGGTCCAGACAACCTCCCTTCAGGCTGCAAGTATAACATGGAGAGAGATGAGTGTCCAGTAAATCCGTGGGAACTGAAAACCAGCTCTTTCAAACTAGAGTGCAAGAGTGAGTGTATGCATGCTCAGTAGCTCAGTCCTGTTCAACTCTTTGCAACCTCATGGACTGTAGCCCACCAGGCTTCTCTGGTGAAATTTCCCAGTCAAGAATGCTGGAGTGGGTTGCTATTTCCTACTTCAGGGGATCTTCCCGACCCAGGGATCAAACCTGCATCTCATCTCCTGCAGGAGATGGCAGGCTGATACTTTACCACTGAGCCACCTGAAAACTCTGTCAAATAATTCATCTGTAACAGTATTCAGAATCATTTTCATAAAAACCCCCAGATCATTAGCTCCCTTGATGTAAATGTTTATTGATATATTTGCTCTTGTTGTTCAGTCACTCAGTTGTGTCTGACCCTTTTCGACCTCATGGACTGCAGCATGCCAGGCTTCC